TTCTAGTAAAGAAAGAATACTTCCATGAACTTTGCAAGAGAGGGAAAATACTACCACCAGTGGGATCATGCCCAGAGTCAGGGAACTTCTGTAATTGTTACAGGATTCTGCATTGTGCTGCTACTGAAACTTCTGTCTGAAAAGTCAGTGGTGAACTCAGAGGTTGACATTTCACCACAACCACAGATCTTTTATCATTATCAATATTTTCCTCACAACGGATGTGCTCCATTTTATGGCCAAATTCACTCTAGAGAGATTTGCACACACTTTTGCCTTCCATATAAGTAATTAATTAACAGTAACTTGAAAAGAGTGGTATTTATGTCAAAAAATCAGATATTCTAGGTCCTAGAATTTGCTCAAACTTCCTTGCCACAACAAGCTACATTTCAAAATGTTTTGGAAAAACACCCTCCTCATTTTTATGGGTATCTGACATGTAGTACAGACCTATTCTTTGCTCCAGATAGTATTTTCAGAGCAAACCCTCTTCACCATCCCTTGTTGCCTAGGAACTGATAGGTATAGTAACTGAAATACAGTGAGATATGCCTTTAGTTAAACTCATTTGATGGCATATTTCTGTCTGGAAGACTTCAATCACCACCAGTTGTCTTTATACAACATTTCCACTGTGAGGATCAAATGCCATTCTGGTAGTTGATATACAAATGAGCAATCTAGGAAGTCCAGAGGCTTTCAAAGGATTTAATTAGGTAAAATATTTTATTTCATATACATATATTTATTTCTCCCAATAATTTATGTTCTTTAAGTTCATTTCCCTGCAGATACAGCAGCAGTTGTGGTGTTGCGAATTACACCGGAGATGGCCTTAAATTAGCTACCTGAGGTATGAGAAGTAATGAAGCCATGGCAAGCTGAAGTTCAGCAGGTTTTTGCATATTTTGCTTCAAGATTTCTGTCTGTTTGATGGTAGTGTTCATGCATTGGCACAAATCACTCTGCCCAAGCCGTGCCTGTGCTTACTCTGGGACCATTGTTTACACATACCTGGGAGCAGAGGAGGAAGATGTAAGGAGCTTTGTAAATCACATCAGGGAACAGAATAGCTGAAGCAAGAAACTTTAGGTGTCATGGGGAGGAGCAGATGAACAAGATGACAGGTGGTTAGCACTGGCTGAGGGCTTGTAGGGGACTCCTAGGGTTTGGGAGTGACAAAGCAGAAGAGAAAGGGTTGGATTAGGGTGGAAAATCTCTGTTCAGTATGCAAAAGGGGTCTGAAACTTTGGGGTTTTTAGTAAGATTTCAAAACTTCAGTATCTAAATAAATGATTTTTTTTTTCACAACTCATACCTCTTGCTCCACTAGAATGTTTTCACATATGATATTTAGGGACAGTATTAAGCACAAGTAAAATAGATTAAGAAATGAATGTAAAAGAATCAATTCTTTTGAACTGTGGTTGCATAATGGAAATCGACTGCTATGAATGAACCTATGTTCAGAAGTTATGAACAGCAGAGCTAATGCACTGCCATGAGTTCATCTTTATTATTGCATTACACCTGAATCAATTGATAAAGTAGCTTCTTTTTAAGGCTAGGAATGGCACTTAATTGAATAAAAGTCAATGTAATTATATTAGGAGAATCCAACAGTACTGCTGACAGCGGAAAAGGGACACTACTGAGCAGGGTGCCAGAACTGGTCCGCACATTTCTGCACATCGTTTGCCTGACAGATATTATGGGCTGGTACATACTTTAACTAGATTACTGATTGTTACTGCTGTAAGTGAGAATTTAATAAGGGAGGCATCTCTTCTTATCAGAGCATCAGCAGAGTTTGCATCCTTACACTGGTCTTTCTCAGAATGGCCTTTGTCTATCTGGGGCTTGGTGTCCCCTCTTAACATGGCAGTTTATTCTTATTTCTTCATTTAGTGAATGCTGAAGTTTTTTTCACTGCATGCCTGACTGTTATTTTTCTCAGCAGAAAACCAAGGAAATAGTAGACACAAATGCATGGAAGCTACAGTTACAGTTATCCTAACTAGCTCGTATGCTGAAACAAATTCCCATCACACAGGAGTGAAGAAGGAGAGAAGGGGAGAAATTACAAGTACACACATGAGTACTTTATGAATAGTTTGCAGTTAGCCTTATGATGATTAGCATAAATGTGCTTTTACGGTCATTTAATAACTCTGGCCAGTGTGGACAGGCCTTCACAGTAAGCGTTTCCTGTACTGCACTTAGCAACTTAACATGGAGCTATATTCCATCTGAAACCAGGAAGGCAAGGGACCATCAGGACTACTGTTTATCATTCATGTATATGCACTGCATGCATCTATTCAGAACTCTTTTGTGGATAATAATGGGTATGGTGTGAATATGCTTTGATTAATTTGCTTTATGATTTCTGTATTGTGTGATTGAGTCCGTATCCATCAGGACAACAGTATAAGTGATATTACAGCTGACAAAAACCAGGTTCATAATCAAGACTTTTTTTAAAGTCTGTGTTTTATTGGTTTCAGATTTTTTCAGAATTTTTTTAACCAGATATGTCTGGATTGGAATGTGAATTTGTTCTCTCTCTCTCTCTCTCTCTCTCTTTCTCTTTCTCTCTTCTCCCCCTCCCCCTTTCTTTCTCTTTTCTCTGCTCCTCTCTCTCTCTTTTGTGATCTCAATTTAGCAAAAGATTAGAAAGCTGATCTTATCACAAGGTAAGCTCAGCCTTCCTAAGTGCAGTGTGGGGATATGCATTATTACACTTCCATGCCTCAAAAAAGCAATGGTGCTATATTTGCTTGTGTGAAAAGAGTATTTCCCATGTGGGACAAAAGCAAGAAATACTCTCCACTTTTTCTGCCCTTGCCCATACCTCTCAACTGTCTCTCATTAGGACAAAAATCCTCTGTTCTAGAACACCCCCTCACTGGAATAATTGCATCCCAAGCACACACAATTCAATTAAATTATATTTCAGTATCAGTTTTATGTCAGAGAACAGTTACCTGCATTTGCAGGTGAATGGGACAAATTAGTTTTATTGCTCTTTGTTTACTCCCTTAAGTTATGTGCAACAGATAAATGAATCATAAAGTAAGTGTTAGAAAATTACAGAAATTTACTCCACATCAATTTAATCTTCCTACATTTGCATTTGTTTTATTTATTTACATTGTATTGCTGTACCCTGTTTGGGACTTCCGTTGGTTGAGAGGTATGTTTCAAAGGGTATCTTAAAATAAAAGCTTCCAATAAGGAAATATTGCTAATAGCTATTGTTCCTCTTCTCCCGTTTTTGTTAATGAAGGACCTGAATGTCTGTAAAATATTTGTAAAATATTTGATCATTGTTATGTCTTCCCTTGCCAATTTTGTACCTAGTGCTTTTTGCAAATTAAGCTATTTCTATGTTAAAATTCTCTCTCTCTCTCTCTCCCTCTCTCTTTCCCCACCCTCCTCCTGCTCCCCCCCCAACCTCTTCTTTTCCCTCCTACATTTGGGCTCTGATCTGCAATTTATAATGGGCAGACAGACTGGTGAGTCTGCATGTTGTAAATTGCGGGTTTGGGTCCTTAGCTTGCAAAGAATGTTATGCAGTAGAACTTCGCTAATTCTTTTTTTGCTGACTCAAAATTCAAGTCACCCTCCAAAGAAACTGAATAAATATTTGTCATTTCCTCAGCAATGCTGCACATTCTGAAAACTGAACCCTAAAGTTTTCTATTACTGAAAACTTTACACTGATTTCTCTACACTTAAGCACTTCAGCAAAATGAGCATGTTCTGCGTTCAGAGGTCTTTGATATCTGTCATGCTTGTTGGTTGCATCATTAATTCAGAAAATGCAGTTTTAAAAAGAGGGTTTCCTGACACTACTGCAAATCAGTGAGGTTCTACTGCAGTGGATGAGTAAAGCCAATGCCAAAAGCGGAGAGTAGAATGCAGTTTCAAATAATAGGCTATTTTACACATTTACTAACCCAAAAGTTTACATGTTTGCAAATGTAGAGTTTTATTTCTTGAGAGCAAAGGCCCAGATCCTGTAGAACACTTGAGAGTCTTCTAATTTACAGCTCTTGGGATCTGGTTTAAAATTCACCTCCATCACGGACAGTTTTCCATTGTCTTAATATCTGCAGTAACTTCAGCAAATAACTAAACCAAACCATGCTTAAGTTTTTTGATTGATTTGGGGCAAAGTTCTCACCGCCATTAATAGGAGTTTTTTTACTGGACATTACACTGCTTGAGTCAATCAGCACTGCATGCAGACAGTACAGGGAAAAGGACAGGGAGGAGTAGCAGTGACAACTTAGAAGGATGAAACCACTAACTTTGGCTAAGATTTTCAGAAACCTACATGTAAATTTCAAAGACTTGTTCTCTTAAACGCTTCAAGTCTTCTTCATCTTGGTTTGGCCTGATTCTGAATCCCTTTGCCCGAGAATTAAATTACTAGAATCAGGACCTCTGACAATGCCTTATTCGGTTACCTTTATTTTACTCTCCTCCAATATTTCACTTACAGAGTTATGTGAGTGTGTGTGTATATATATATATATACATCTTTTTACGTATGTATGTATGAATAAGTATCTAAAGACATAGCTAGACACACATTAATATATTCCATATATTAATATTTTTGCCTCTTGAAGAGAAAGAAAGTCAGCAGGGATTCAGGAATCAAGAAGAGCATTTTGTATTTTCTGCTAGTACAATTTATTATTTTTTAAATTTCAAATAAAAGGGCTGTAGCTGCTGTTGGAGACTAATGTTGAGGTGCAGCAGCTAACACAAAAAACACTAATGGGGAAATTTGATTGTTTTGTTTAGTTTTTGTGTTGCAATTTGTCCACTTATAGAAAACTGAAATTTCAAAGCAACATGGATAAAGAATATTTTAATGAAAAATTATCAATAAATCATAATTTGGATTTTGTGCTTGTTGAATGTATATTTAATAAAAAATACTGTACATTTTTCCTTTTCTCCCTTCCCTCTTCCTTTCCCAGACACAGTGCTAACATAAACCTGCATCGTAAACTGTTGACCAAAGAACTGGATGACATGGGCTTGGACACTTCACAGCCTTCTCTTAGTAAGGACCTCCGCGATGAATTTTTGGTGAAGATATATGGCGCTCAGCATCAGATGGGGCTTGACATAAGGGAAGACACCTCCTCGCCTGCTGGCACTGAGGATTCCCATATGAATGGGTACGGCAGGGGCATGGCAGAAGACTATATGGTACTAGACCTGAGCACCACCTCCAGCATCCAGTCCAGCAGCAGTATCCATTCCTCAAGAGAATCTGATGCAGGAAGCGATGAGGGTATTCTCCTGGACGACGTCGATGGGGCAAGTGACAGCGGGGAATCTGCCCATAAAGCAGATGCCCCTGCCTTAGCTGTAGGTATGGGCACCGATGTCCCAGGATCCCTCATGTTCAACAGTGTTTCGGTGAGCAACGGTGGGATAATGTGTAACATTTGCCACAAAATGTACAGCAACAAGGGAACCCTCAGAGTGCACTACAAAACAGTGCACTTGCGAGAAATGCACAAGTGCAAAGTCCCTGGGTGCAACATGATGTTCTCCTCTGTCCGTAGCCGAAACCGGCACAGCCAGAACCCCAATCTGCATAAAAACATTCCTTTCACTTCAGTAGATTAGGTCAAGGATGGACACAGCATAATGCCAGCTCTCAGAGAGGGCCCACCACATCTGAACTGCCGTATAGAGTCTCCCTTTATATATATATATATATATATATATGTATATGTATATATATATATATGTATATATATGTATATATATATATGTATATGTATATATACACACACACACAAATATACATATATATATATAATTTTTTTCTTTTCTTTTTTAACAAAAGAAAAAAACACCAGGTGCTTTTTCCCCTTTCTTGGTTGTTGGGGTTTTTTTCTTTTATATTTTTTTGATAAAAACAAAAACGTAGGACCTTTAATTTGGGGGAAGAGACCCTTCATAAAAAAAAAAAAATAAAAAAAGAAAACCAAACAAAAAAACTAAACAAACATCAAACAAATAGAAAAACTGCAGTTGTCCCTAGCTCTGTTAGAATGTTCTTGGTCATCTCCAAAGAGCCAGTTTGTTCTTCCCATAACTTTTGCCTGAAAAAAAAAAAAAACAACAAAAAAAACCCAAAACAAAAAAAAAGAACAAAAAAGAACAACAAAAAAAATCACACAAAAAAATCCCCCCAAAAATAAAAAAAAAATTGCAAACAACAAAAAGAGAAAGAAAAAACAATCTACTTAGTTGTCTTTGTGTCTTCTAAGCATTGGGGATAACGTTCTACTAAGCATGGCTGTTACACTTGTATATATATATTGAGCCTTGACAGGCCTATGATGTAAAACAATTGTATTGATGGTGGTTTAACTCTAATTTTTTTGCTTAATTTTTACAGTTACATTCAGCTGTTAGATAAGCAGGAAAAATAGTTTGCTGCCTAGTTTTACTCATTTATGTTAGCTTTAATGCACATTTTTAAAAGAACCACGGTCTTGTTTTAACTACCTGCTAGATATAAGTAAAACAGAGGTGCTGGCATGCTTTACAGTACCTGATTTGATACAGTTTTTTTGTCTTGTACTATTACATAAATCCAGTCATGCACTTTTTCGTACACTACAAGGGGATGTGTAATAATATCCATGCTTTTTTTTTTCTTAAACTATTGCCATATTTTCAGTAAGTGTCTTTAAAAAAATACACTTAGATAAAAGTGATCTGGTCAGTATGAGGGCATGAATGCCAAACAAAGAGTATTAGTGTTTAGTGTTAATACAAAAGTGCCAACTTTGCACACATTTTGAAAAAAGAAAATGTAGTTATTCACCATATCCACAGTTGTACTTTTTGGACTACACACCGAAAAATACTGGGGAGGGAACAGGGGTAAAGTGAAATACAGAATTCTTGGTGCTTTTTCCAAGTGCCAATTATTACTAGAAACAAGAGTGCATCCTTATTCCTTACATACTACATTGCATAAAAGTGAAAAAAAACCCCAGAATTTTGTCATGTGAACCAGTAGAAATTTTTTTTTGTCAGACATGCATAATATTTGGGGATACAAATGCTGATACTACTTGTCACAGAACAAAGATGAATATAATTTTGTGTGCTTCTTATTATAGCCTGGATTTTTGTGGTGTTTAAAAAAAAAAATCAAAACAAACAGGGAAAAAATATTAACTATGTTGTTCTGTAAAGTTGTCTTTTTTGCAATGGAAAGTGCTGTAGTATGATTAAGGCATGTTTTATAGAAAAAATCAAAAGAAATTATTGGCAGAAGCACTTAGTAGCTCTGAAAATATATGCTGGAATTTTTATTGAGTGACTTTCCCTTTGGATAAAATTAGAAGACAGAGAAAAAGGATGTCTAGTTGTGTTAATGTTTTGTGTTTCACTCGCATGATTTGTCAGAAAATAACAAAATTCCAAGAAATATAGTGAGCAAGAGAGCGAGCCCAACCAGAAGACAGAGAAGGAGCAAGCAATTGAGAAAGGCAGAGAGAAAAGAGGCTGCCCTCCGCAGTTTTTTGTTTCCGATGTTTACACATGTTGCTTGAGCTGGTAAACCACACTGGCAGCCTTAGTTACCACAACATACTGACAGAGAGATGGTATTTACTTAAGCTCAATCTACAGCCAAAGCCATTAGGATGTGTGTTGTAGACTTTTCTTTACAAAACAAATAAAAGTAACAAAATCAAAAAGAAACAAACAAAGCAACCCCTAAGGGATATTTCAGCATACAATAAAATATTCCTTCAGTGAGAATGTGTTCCTTTTCTGTATTTACTGACCCAGAACATTATTCTTAGCAAAGAGTCAGAAATGCTCCATTGTTTCAGCTTGTCGCTGTATTGTTTTGCTGTGCATTTTGATTATTCTTACTTTTTAGGTCCACTTGAGTACTTAACTCTTATTACATTTTCTAGAGGAAATTCTTAATATAGGTTTCCTCTTTTTTAGTACTTTTAATGCATTTCAGTATTTTTGTTTCCAAAAGTAGGAATCAATATCTAATAAATCAGTATTTTCTTTTGTAGAAAATAAAAGAAAAGAATTTCTAAATTAATTCTCACTATGTTCCTATGAGTTACAAGCCTCTGAACGTTTTGGGTTTTTTTATTTTGTGCACTCATGAAGCCCTGAAAACATTTGTGAATTCCACAGAAACTGTAAGAAAAATTTACCTTCTGGTTTATCAAAAAGAAACTTTATAGAAAAAAAGTAAGCTGTTTCACTGACATTTTTCTTTCATCTATTTTATTTTCCTCAAAATCTCAACTACTTTGCCTTGTTAAATTGAGTGATCTGCTTTGGTTTGTTTTATGTTGTGCAAGCTCAGTGTGTTTGCGAGAAAGGGAAATTAGAACAGTAAGGGAGCATTTTTCCAAAACACATGAACCTTTGTAGTGTTACCTGTACTGCACTCTCATCTCTCCTCCCAGGCTAATAGGAATAAGTAATACAGAAAGTCTAAGAAATAAAAGAACTCAAATAGAATTATATATACAGGGGAAAAAAACCCACTCTTTTGTAGTATGCACGGTAAAATAAATATAATTTTTTAAATGAAAAACGCATTTGAGGTATATAAAGAATTCCTCACTGAATGAATCACTGTTCAGCATTCTTATTTCACTATGATTCTGTTAGAGGTCAAATGGGTTTGGTAAGCTTGTTTGAAAATTTACATATCACGTGTAGATAAACTCAGCAGATTATTGACATAGAAGAAAAAAAAATCTGTTTATTACAGAAAATTTAATAGCACATAGTAAAAAGTAAGGAAAAAAGATAAGCCTCCAAAAACTGTTAGGACCTCACAAGTCCTGTTTTTAATTTCATTCAGATTTTGCTTAAGCTATGTAGACAATATCATCCCTGTCTTGTGGACAGAACACTACTTACTGTTATTTTTAGGCAAATCTTGGCAAAAGTAGTTTCTTCAGTGTTAGTGATACTAATGTCAGAACAGTCTTTTTCTTTAGAAGGACACTTACATTTCCTTTGAATTGAATGGCATTCCCCTCCTTTCAACTTAGCATGCATCTCTATGAGAATCTGTATTTATAAGAATTGTTCTTGTGGTGGAATTTATATCATCTGACATTATCTGAAAAATTCATAAAGGGGCTCTGGCATAGCAGCTTGGTTTTACTGAAAGCAGCATTTTTGAGTGATCTCAGCAGAGACCCAGAGTGCAGTAATAATGACCAAACATTTCATCTCTTCAGCACAGAACATGGCCTGTAATGGTGTGATGACATGATAAGTACTGTGCAGTTGTTTATGTTATCACAAATCTGTGGCTATTCCTTCGGTTTCCAAACCTGTCAGTCTAAACCATTTTACAAGAACTAGACCAGCTTTGAGGAAGATCCTCTTCTCTTTACATGGAGTTTGTTCCTTCTTTTTGGTTCCTGTAGTTATTGTGGTCACTCTTTCCATATTGTTTCACTGTTTTATTCAAGGTAGTTGTATTTTTCTGTAAATATCAAAAAACTTTGTCTGCAATTAGAAGATAACTGTACTGAATCTCCTTTAGAAACAGAACTATTTGTCTGGAAGTTGTTTAGGATTTTTATTTTCATTGTGAGGGTTGTGGGGTATGGTGTGTCAGGAAAGCATATGTTAATGGTTAATCACTAGGTGTCTTTTGAAAAACTGTACGAAAATTTGGAAGGAAAACAGCACAGTCAAAGCACAAGATTGGAAACCATGAATTTTAACAACCCTGGTAGACCCTTCTAACTTTTTAGCCTCACACATATCATATCACTTACCTACTTATGTTACAGTCTGTTAGACTATCACTAATACTAATATGATTTTGCCCATAAGTGTGCCCCTGTGAGGACCAATTGGCTGGTATTAGTAAAGAGCTAATTTAACTCATAAATATTTTTGCACACCTTAAAATATTTAGTCAATTTTTCTGAGCTATATCTCAATCAGGAACATTTTGTTATGCCTGAGATTTTAACCTTGCCTTTTAAATTGTAGCTGATACTGTGGTGACTCTGTAGACATGCACACATGGTATAAGCACTGTCACTGAGTCACAACTCAATTTGACAAAATGTGAAAGATATAGATTAAAAACCTTAATAGCAGATGGACACTGCTCTTAAAGATCTCTCAAAGGCTTTTCATGTCTGAGCTCATAAAATTTGTATGTTTCCTAGGGATCTGTAGATATTTTACACAGAAGAAATTCTGTAACTTGTTTGCCATGGGTAAACTTCAGTGTATCTTCCTTCCTTCCTTCCTTCCTTCCTTCCTTCCTTCCTTCCTTCCTTCCTTCCTGCCTGCCTACCTGCCTTCTTCTGTCTCTCCCTCTCTTCTTCCCTTTCCACCTCTCTTCTTCCCTCTCTTGTCTCCCTTCTTCCATGTCTCCCTTCCTCCTGTTGTGGAACTGAAAGTGTACTCTTTCTGCCTGTTCCACAAGTTTATACATTTTCCATTACCTATATGTTTCCCATTCCATCCCCCAAAAAAGGAACTGTTTAGGAAAAGTTAGTAGAGTCAGGTTCTGTGAAGTAGCTGCCAGCAGTGGTCAGTACCTCAGTTGATTTGGTCTAGTACAATTAATAGGAAGTGGGGCTCCCAGGATGCGCTTGAGGTTTCCCTGAGTTTTAGCCTTTCCAACCCAGTTGAGGATCTA